ATATGTGACCCTGGATCACAAAACCAGTCATAAGGGTCAATTTTTTTAAACTGAAATTTATACATCATCTGAAAGTTGAACAAATAAGCTTTGTTCAAATAATCCATTGATGTATGGTTTGTTATGATAGGACAATATTTGGTCGAGATACAACTATTTTAAAATCTGGAATCTGAGGGTGCAAAAAAATTTAAATATTGAGAAAATTGCCTTTAAAGTTGTCCAAATGAAGTCCTTAGCAATGCATATTACTAATGATACTAAATTTTTGATATATTTACGGTAAGAAATTTACAAAATATCTTCATGGAACATGATCTTTACTTAATATCCTAATGATTTATAGCATAAAAGAAAAATTAATCATTCTGACCAATGTATTGTTGGCTATTGCTACAAATATACCCCAGCGACTTAACACTGCTTTTGTGCTCCAGGGTCACATATTATGTCTAGGCTAGTTTCTGACCCTACATCTAGTTTTGAAGTCCATTGATACTGATGATCTCAGTAGGTTTCATGAAATTCATCCTGTTTATCTCTGAACCAGAAGCATAAGCAAATGCTTTCTATTGATATGCACACGCTTCATTGTGTTCGGTTCACGGATGATCCGGGTACTATAATCGGAATCAACACACACAATGGCTGGGATGTTGGTATCCGCCCTTCGCTCTGTTGACGCTCTCATCACTATCGCTGACACTCATTAGCCGTTCCCATGCTGCACCAATTAGCGCTGCAGTCGCAGATTACATTCAGGCCGTTCAAGAAGAAAAAAATGTTTCTCCTGTTTTTCAGGTGAATCTGAAAGATTCAATTTCCAAAAGGTAATGGGATTTATTATCATTTTAATAACTCTTGGCTGTGGGCTCATGTCCCTGCTTGACAGGAGAGCTGCGCTGGCTCAATCGATGTCATGCATGCCAGAATAATTGCATTGTGAAGCTCAAAGACGGCGCTTGTGAGAGCCGCTCTCATGACCCGGAGCAGAGCAGAAATGAAGAACCAAATAATAACTAAATAAATGTATTTACACCACCAGTCCAAAGTTTTAACGTCCACCAGTGAATTTATGCTCTTCACGAAACTAATTCTATTTCAGTCTGCTTAAAGTATAGAAAGCAGCTTTGAAGACAATTATAAAATGAACGTGCGAAACACAACGAAATAATACATCTTTACATGATGTTTTTTAATCTGTTCGTCACTGGGATTCATTTTGTTTTGCAAACTTTATGAGGATGGAAAAGCATCTGACATTAAACCAAAAAATGATTTCACACTCTTGTGTTGTTTAAGCATATTGTCCCAGATGTGCACAGACCGTGCGATTCTAGAAACACATTTGAATATTTGGAAATATTTGTGTTTCCAGAGTCTCAAAGATTAAAGGTTTTAGTGTTGACTGATGGGAAGGCCCACATACATATATTATTATATGAGCCGTCATTAGCAAAATGATATCATCTTTCACACCTTGCACTTTTATGTATTAAATATTTTGGCTATTTTGATAACGCGGTCATTAAATTCACCTCAAATTTGCATTCAATTTATTTAGCATGTTTTTGCTGGTACAAATGTACTAATCTTGTATTGCTCAAAAGCATCTGCTAAATGTAAATGTATCTGAAACCACTGAGATGTTACTTACGCTGTACCCAGTTGCCACTGACGGGACTCAGGAAGTTAGGATACAGGCCGTGAGGCTTCTCGATTTTGTTCAGCAGCTTTCGGATGTTCATCACCTAAAGAAAAACACAAAATCACACGGTTCATTCACAGCCCGTATCCCGTCCTCTCAGAGTAAATCAGCAGGACGTAAACGACTCTTGCCTTCTCAGTGAACACGGGGTTTCTGGACAGTTCGGACAGGTGAACGAACTCCAGGTGCAGCGTACCGAACTCGGCCAGGATGCTGCTTCCAGCCGAAGCCCAGCCCCAACTCCAGCTGGTGCCACTGCAACAGAGAGCAGAGCAGCACCGTGAACACCGCCACCCACCACAGACCACACCGCAGCTAACTGGAGCCATGGCAACACCGCACCAAACAGAGCGTGCAGAGCGGATGCCAGGGCGTTGATTATTCACTGTGCAAACAGTTTAACACAGACGTGCTAAAAGCCTTCGCTTCATCCCACGTGAGAGTGTTACACAATGCCAAATCCATAATGATGCCATTAATGATTCTACTGAAGAACAACCATAAAAATACAGGTTTAAAATATTATTTTTTGCACCTAGGAACATGGTTTGCATAAAAAAATCCAAAGAAGTTTTCTACCGTAAAGGTTACACAGATTTGACCTGCATACCAGCAAAAGATGCATTTACACAGGAAACAATTATCATCAAGCCAGCAACAAAAACTAACATGCATTCATTTAAGGTGTTAAATATGCATTGGTGAAAAATGCAATATTTTTTCTTAATCGTCGTTAAAATAAGACAAACAGCAAAACCGCACAAGATAATATTCATTATTAGTGTTCATGGAAAATATGTTTGGAATGGATTTCAGTTTATTTTCCTTCCTCCTCTGGAATTGTTTATTTGTACTGTGAAACAAGACCGAAATATTTTTGTAGTGTATTTGTCTGTATCAGAGTTATTTTAGATACTATTATAGTTTTTATTTTAATTTTAAAGTTTGTCATTTCATTGTGCATTTTTGTCATCTTGATAGTTTTTTTTTCCAATATATGTATGTCTTTACATACATAAAGACCCCCCCCCCACCCAGTTATAGATATTTTATTACATTAAGTAAAAATAAAATGAGAAATGTTTAGTTAACTATAATATCTCTGGTCTATATGCAACAAAATATACTGAGGTTTAAGCAACAAAGTTTTGCTTCTTGTGCAAATTGATCTTTAGAGGATTTTTAGATATTTTTACTGGAAAACAAAACAAAAATACTGATTAAAAATATACATTTGTAGTGTATTTGTTGGTGTGCATGAAAATAGGAGATTTATGCTACCAATTTTTGCTTCACGTGCAAATTGATCTTTTGAGGATGTTATTTTCACTCAAAAAAAGACAAAAATACTGATTAAAAATGTTTTTTCTGGTGTATTTATCTGTATGCAACTATGTAAATATTTTAAGAGCAGTTTGAAAAGTACTTCCAAAGCACTTTATCCTTTGTTTTGATTAAATATCATTAAAATTCCATCTGTTGTTCAAAACGGAGGCGTTTCTGCTCTTGTTTACGCTGCAGGTCTCACCCCTGCTGAATGGTAAAAATAAACTGAAGAGAGAAACATGGAAAGAGAGAGAATGAACTCTGAAATGAACCGCTCCAGATTTGGGGCTTCGGGATTCGTTCGGTGAAACTGTGGAACTAATTCACAAGATTATTTGTGTCTGCTTCTTATTGTGAGAGCGTGCCGCGCCCCGCTTCCCTTCTGAAGGAACGATCAATAGCGCCGATGTCTCGGGAGGAAGAGGAAAGTGAGAAAACTTTCGTCGGAAAAATTAACCGAAACCGGCACAAAACAGCTAACTGTTTGTTAAACAAAAGGCAGATAGAGTTCACTGGTGGGAGAAATGACTTAAAGCCCATTTAAGTTCAGTGCCATCCTGACTAACCTGAGCACCACACCGGAGCCCTCTGTCTCCCAGCCCATCTGTAGGTGCGTGAGAATCAGTTAATTAAATTTGCCTGCAGCTGTCAGAGCGAGCTGGTGGGCTAATGGAAGCCAGGTGGGCGGCAGGAGTGCCAGAAAGCGTCTCTTTCTCTCAGAAAGCAAAAAACAATATTTGAGACATATGGCTTTGTGAATGGATACGTCATGCCAGCAGACGGGACGCTAGGAGCTGCGTCAGATGCTCACCTGCCCAGGTTAATGACTCCTCTGGGAATGCCGGTGGGCGTGTTGAAGGCGGGTAACAACTTCTCGCCCAGTTCCATCACCTTCTGCTTAAATATCTGAAAGACAAAACAGAAGAGCATAGCGCTAACTAGTCCTGCAATGTAGCATACACATCTATAAAGGTGTTTCTTCACAATCATGCATGCACACGCTTCCTCAACGCTCATAATCTACACGTTTGCAGCGCTTTCCTCCAATGCAATCCATTTATAATGTAAGTCAGGTTTCTTGCACCAAAAACAGTCAGGTACATGGGTTCAATGCATCGACTGATAAAAATTCTTCATCTATATTCAACAAGGATGCATTAAATTAATCAAAAGTGGCAGTAAAGACTCATTGAACTTTCTATTGATCAAAGAATCCTGAAAAATCAAATGTATCACTTTCCACAAAAATATTGGGCAGCACAACTGTTTTCAACATTGCTAATAATCAGAAATGTTTCTTGAGCAGCAAATCAGCATATTAGAATAATTTCTGAAGATCATGTGACACTGAAGACTGGAGTAATGATGCTGAAAATACAGCTTTGATCACAGAAATAAATTACATTTGAACAGATATTCACATAGAAAACAGCTATTTTAAATTGTAAAAATATTTCACTATTTTACCATTTTTACTGTATTTTTGATCGAATAATTGCAGCTTTGTTGAGCATAAAAGACCACAAACCATTGACAAACATTTCAAATATACTGTTGTTGCATGACTTCAGCATATTGCATATTACAGAGTCCAATTATCAGAATAATAAAATACATAATGGATATTTAACAGTTACAAACCAATAATAATCATTAAATAAGAAGGAAGAAAATTATTTTGGCTGTCTGAAGTGCAGAAAACTTGCACTAGAGCTTATTGTCAGTTTATATTTCATGTCCAACTGCAATACTTCCCAAATAAACCCAAAATGGACTTTCAAAACTTCTTGAACCCAAAGACAAACCAGTTTAACATCCATTAAGCGCAGCAGCTTCTGTGGCAAGGTCATCTTCAAAAGTGAATGAAACTCGACATTGTGCAGCAGAATGAAACCGAGTGCAGAACATTGAGACTTCAAGACGTATTCTAACGCTTATGATGCAATAACACACAAAGATGGCTGGAAATACGGTTGGCGACAGAGATATTTCTCTCCAAGCTCTTTTTAGTGCTGCTTGCTAAGGCAAGCATCACTATTATTGCTATTATTTAGGTTGAGGGATTTGAACGAACTTCTAAATCCAAGTATTAAACTTTAGAGTGTAACTTGTCCCATATCAGACTTATGATTTTCACCTGGTGGGCAACAAAACGGTTGTAAAATAGACTTCTATTGAAGGAGGCACCAGACCTGAATATCACTTGATACAGTAAAAGCACATAGCAACCACTCAGAATACCTTAGCAACGGAACAGGAACATCCTGGCAACCACGATAACACCTTAGCAACATGGTGGCAACTCATCAAGGTACAAGAAACAATGATGTTCAGAGTTGTTAATGAGTTTGCAGTCTGTACTAAATATGAGGCAATAATTCAACTGTGTACCACAAAATAATGACAGAAATCTGCTTTACATTGAGTTGTATTTATATAAACAAATACACAGTGAGATAGGATTCACAAACAAATGACTCTTAGCTGTTTCTTTTCAGTGAATCAAAGCAATCACATATAATAATATACATACATATATATATATATATATGGAGAGAAACATTATACACACACGTTTTCTTCCTTATCCTAAAAACAAGTTTGAGTTTGTGGATGTCCACTGAGAGCAGAGTTTGTGTCACCAGCAGAAGGTCAAACTTCAGCCTCCTCAGAAGCACTGGGCTCTAGAGAGACATGCGGTGGACTCTGCTATAACGGGGGCAGCACATCTCCTGCTTAATGCATTTGTGCAGCGCGAAACGAGGGCTGAGATGAGAAGGACCGGAGAAGAGCAACCTGATTGGCCCCCTGCACTCGTGTCAGAGAGATCACTAATGACCCATAGCTGGAGACACCGACTCCATCAGAATCCCATCTGTGAGGCTTCACCTGCCAGAGTATGACAGTGCCACCAAAAATGAAACTTCTGTCATTATTTCCTCACCCTCATGTCGTTCCAGATGCATGCATTTCTTTCTTCCATGAAGCACAAAATGAGATGTTTTGAAGGATGTTTATAAAATAAAGTCGAAATGAATTGGATGCTTTAAGGCTCCAAAATGATAATAAAGCATCATAAAAGTAATGCTTATGACTTATGCAATACACTGAAAAAAAATTGGTTAAGGATTTACTTTGAAACTATTTTCACTTAGGAATGGCTAATACATTTCACAAATAATGACAAAGAAATGTCAAGTAACATTGAATTAAACGTTAAAATTTAAGTTGAAAGACTGAAATAGTATTTTCTTGTAAAACATACTCTAATAATCTTACTTATGCTTTATTTACAACTTTGACAAATACTTTTTTTTTTCAGTGTACATTAACCATCTGGTGCTCTTCAGTCATTTTTGAACGATTAAAATTTATTTATTTATTTTTTTAGAATTTTTTTACTTCATCGGAATCGTATGAAACTTGGCAAACTTTTTGGCACTTGATATGTGGACAAAATAAATAAATAAACAAACAAATAAATAAATATCTTGATTTATTTGAAAAGGTTAAACGGTCCTGAAAAAAATAGTCACACTTGCTCTACTCGCAGTCAAAAATGAGTGCATTGGAAATGAATGTGAAAACAATTTCACCTAGTGGAAATATTTGGTACCGCGCCAAAAGAAAATCTTCCTGAAAGCTCATTTTTTGAGATGTCAAACTTAAATTCGAAACACAACTTTTTTAGTTTTAGAGTAAAACATGCTTTGGAAAATATATATTTCATATGACATTTGAAAATAGTATTTTTGTGCATGTTTCATAACAATAAACTTAAACCTCTATAACTTTTTACTTTAACTTTTTTCATTTCAGAAGTAATCTGTCAAGTGTCTTCTTTAAGAAGAGATCAAACATAAGAGTGTTTCAAAAGCATTGAAGATTTACGACAGTTTAAGTTGGAAATTTCATTTTTTTAGGTCTATGCTCAAAAAATGGTTAAAAGGTAATAAATGGATTATAAGCACTGCATAAATATAATTTAGTACCATAAAATCCCTTAAAAATACAAAATATTAAATTAAAAAAAATCATAGAATGCATAGTACATTAATGTAATTGAAACAATTAAAAAAAGGTAATTTTTTGACCACCACACAAGAAGCACCAGAGGGTTACAAATCTAAAGCCTTCAGACAGAACTTAACGTGTAATTAAAAGTAAATACTTATTTTCATGGCTTCAATTTCTATATGTTCCTCAGACAAAGTTACTGTATGAGTTCAGAAGACTTGGAATATAATTCATACATTATATGGACTACTATTATGGTGTGTTTATGGTGCATTTTGGTCATTTTTGGAGTAAAAAACTGAGTAATGTGAGAAGAAGTGTACGTAAATAATGACAGAAAATGCATTCTGGGCAAACTATTCCTTTGATTGTCATGGTATCTGACAGAAGGATCCTGATTGTCATGGGACATTTGCAGTATTGATCCAGGATGGCAGCAGACAGCGCGAACATTTCACTTTCAGTCTGAACACAAAAAAGCCCATTATTCTCTCTATCCAATTGCAAAAGAAAAACAGGCATGGGCAAAGAAACTCCAGCCTGGAGTTAATATTTAATTTTCATCTGAGGAAACATGCTCAGGAGGAAGGGCAGCTCTCAGGTCATCTGTACGCGCGTGACCTTTGACCTCTCATCATCAGCATCTCCTCAATTCGCTGTACAGCAGCAGAGACATTTTCAGCTTAATTACAGGATGCTTACGCACATCTCTGCAGCTGGGAATGAATTTTTAAAAGCCATTTATTGTTGAATAACATCAGATTGAAGGCTTCACCTCCAGAAAACAAACAGTGGTGGAGGATAAAGCTCCCACGAGGAATGACTGATGCAGTTGAATAAATGCACAGGACTCTGGGACGTCGTTTAGACGCTGCTGCGCATATAATGCTGCGGAGAATACAAAGACAGAAGCAGCTTTTGTGAAACGTCCACACGTTAATGATGTGGATAAAAGAAAATGGAAAACGCATCAAATAGAGTTGTGTATGGAGTGCTGACTTTGGTAATCAAAAACAACGATTGCTCTCTGACTTTATCAAGAGTTCATTTAAAAGCAATTCAGGTTATCAGTACAGGAGACAAGACAGAGACAACGCATTAATGCTGGTGAAAACTTGGGCTTGGGTTATTTCAACAAGCTCCTCACAGAATATAAGAAATATTACAAATAAAAGAAACATTTCTATGACTTGACATATTAATATAACTGTTAATATTTTAATAATAATAATAATAATAATAATTATTATTATTATTATTAATTATAATAGTTAATATCAGGCATTACATAATAATAATAATAATAATAATATTAATAATGTGATATTCACGGTTAATAATATTAATATTGTAATTTTTTTTGGCTTGGGTTATTTTAACAGGATCCTCACAGAAAATTGCAGTATTATTGTTAAGAATATATAAGAAATATTATATACTGTATAAAAGAAACATTTCTATGACCTGACACAGAATAATATAACTGTTAATATTTTAATAATAATAATTATTATTATTATGATTATCAATAATAATAGTTAACATCAGGCATTCAGGCATTACATAATAATAATAATAATAATAATACAAATTTTTTTTGGCTTGGGTTATTTTAACAGGATCCTCACAGAAAATTGCAGTATTATTGTTAAGAATAATATATTAATGGATAATTATGATTATTTATAAGTTTCTTCTATGGCATGATACTATCAAAGCCTTGATTTTAGTTAAGTTTCAGTTATTGATATTGACAATACTGATGTTGTGCTAATGAAGCTCTATTATGGACTCCACATGAACCTGTCGTATAAGGTCTGCTTGAAGTTTGAGCAGTAAAACATCACACCTTTTCCCATCATCCCCTTCTAGCAGAGATACATCCAGTG